ACTGGCATGGTGAAAATGCTTTGTTGGTCCCCCCTGTAGTTTTAGTGTCATCTACCCTTAAACACATGCATCATTGCCAATGTAAAGGGGTCCTAATTTTTCCTTGGTGGCCTTCGCAACCCTTCTGGCCTTTATTGTGGTCCTATTACCGAACCTGGGTCAAGGACCTCATTACTGAAGTAGGTTATCTCGCACTTAAACATGGCAGAAATCAAAACAGTCTACTTGGTTCAAGTGATTTCGATGGCTCCGTAGCAGCAGCATATTTAGATTTTGCTTCAATTTAATCCTTTCTCATTTTAGTTGATGTTAATATTGCAAGTTTCATTTAACTTTTCTTTTTCTTTGTGCATACATATCGTTCGCAACCACCCCTTTTGGCTTGATTTTCCACGCCATTTTCAAGCTCCGAAAGAATTAATCCTGTTAGACGCAATTTTTGCTAAATCTGAGGGTACGGTTAAAGCTTATTTCTACAAATGTCGTCAATTTTTGTCCTGGTTAGAGTCGCAAGGTATTCCTCTGGTGCTCCCCATTTCGGAAGAAGTGTTAGCAATTTACCTGTCAGCAATTTACCTGTCGCACACAAAATCACACTCAGACTCTGATAGTGTGTTAATTTCTACCGCTGCCTCATCAAGATGGTTGCATTCATTGGTTAATATAAAAAGTAACCCACTTGATTCACCCATCATTCAACATGTCATCGTTAGCGGTAGGCGTGAACTACATCATCCGCCTATACAAAAACAGCCAATTTCACTTAGTCAGGTTAAAGCAATTATCGACCTTTTCGCAGGTCCGAGGCCTCGCTTTTAGAGCTTAGATCAGCCTGCTACGTCGCTCTCAAATACGCTCTCCTCTTTCGACATAACGAGATGGCCGGGATGAAAGCTAACCACTTATCTGAACTGGCTAACAAAAAGGGTATTTCAATTTTTATACCAAAATCCAAAACCGACGTTTTCAGGGACGGTAGTACTGCCTTTCTTTGCGACACATTGGACAACTACTCACCTGTTACGATTTTACGTCGATTTGTAGAAGCTGCTGGTATTAATTTGGGTCAAGACAAATATTTGTTCACTCCTGTTAGATTTTGTCCGGTACGAAAACGTACAAAATTGGTGCTGATAGACCCTTAAGTTACACTAGGTGTAGAGAGTTTTTTTTTTTTGGAAGCCCTTAGGCGCATAGGTGTAAGCGATCCAAAGGTATACGGTCTTCACAGTCTAAGATCAGGCGGGGCTTCCCACCTAGCTAACAAACATGTTCCTGAAGCATTGATAATGCAACATGGTTGCTGGAAGACCTTCGAGGCTAAAAACAGATACGTCAAATGGGATACCAAAGAAAGATTAGACCTGTCACAGACACTTTTCAAAGAGTAATTGTCGATTATGTAACTTCTGGTTATACAATGTATACAATATTCTATACGTTCTTTGTGGGTTTTCCTTTTTGGTTGTATGTGTCAAAATTTGCATTAATTTTCTATTGATAGTCAGCAGTACTTATTAAAATTAGGTGATATTTTTGTATTAACAAGTCAGGTGACCGGTCCAGTGTATGATTAATATTTATTATTTATGATTAGAGAGTCAGCAATACTTAATTTAAATTCATTGAAATTCTGCATTAACGAAGTAAGTATTAGATGATCCGAAACGGCCAAGTGACCGGTCCAGTATATGAGTTATGTTTATTATTTATGATTAGAGAGTCAGCAGTAATTAATTAAATTCATTAAAATTCTGCATTAACGAAGTAAGGATCAGATGATCTGATACGGTCAGATGACCGGTAAAGTGTATTAAAAAAACCAAAAAAAACCCCAAAAACAATTAGTGGTCAGATGACCAGGAGTTTGCTAAACATCAGCGAATCAAGTTGGTGACGAGTGGTTCAGGAGGATCAGATGATCCAATATGGACAATTAAGACGAACAGTTAAATGTATAATTCAAATTCATGGCCAGAATTTCTTTTTTTTTGGACGTTAACACATAATTGTCATGTCTATCATAAGTGGCATCTCAAAAAAGAAGAAGAACTGAGAAGAAGTAAGACTGTCAGTGAAAACTCGGTGTTTGTGATCCCACCATTAACCCATGCTGCAAATAAATAATTAGAAACAAATCCAATTGCCTCCGTTTCCTTATTATGGCGGTCCATTAATACTAAACTGCTTTCCATGCGTATGGAAAATGTATTTCTCTCTTCCAAACTACCCCTTCGCGAAATGTTTGAACCCAACTCTGTGGCGCTCTCTTTGGAACAAAACGCGCAACGCGCGCACCAGCAAGCATTTTGCACACAAATACCGCACCGTGGAAATAGTACTTTGGTTGCTAATATGGTATAGTACTTTGGTTGCTACGGGTATAGTACTTTTGGCCGTGCAAGGAAAGATAGCAAAAATAGAAAGTATCATGTGACTCGCTCTCGGCCAATCAAAACACAGAATCTGTGGGTGAGGTGTTATAATATTTCTTATAACACCTCACCCACAGATTCTGTGTCTTGATTGGCCGAGAGCGAGTCACATGTTACTTTCTAATTTTGCTATCTTTCTGTGCACGGCCAAAAGTACTATGTGCATAGCAACCAAAGTATATACCATTAGCAACCAAAGTATTATTTCAACGGCGCAGTATTTGTGTGCAAATGCACGCTGGTGTTGCGCGTTGTGCGTAGCGCGTATTATTCCAAAGAGAGCGCGCCACAGACTTGGGTTCAAACATTTCGTGAAGGGGTAGTTTTTAAGAGAGAAATACATTTTCCACCAATTTTGTATTGAAATTGAAGTTTATTTCAACTGTGTTCAGATTTAAATAATTTGAAATATTAAAATCAAGCAGAATCTGTGGGTGAAGTGTTATAAAACAAATATTGAATGCTTTATCTCGTGGTGAAGTAAAACTAGCCCCCCTCGGTGATCCATGGACCATTCTATTTCCCCTCGGCTTCGCCTCGGGAAAATAGAATGGTCCATGGATCACCTCGGGAGGCTAGTTATATAATAAGGGAATAAATGTGTGCTCCGGAGGTTTTTATCACTCGTTTAATACCGCTTAGAGTCTGGGTGCTGATAATTACCCGAGCCGGAGGCGAGGGTAATTATCAGCACCCAGACTCTAAGCGGTATTAAACAGAGTGATAAATACCGACCGAGCACATATTTATTCCCATTCATAAATACCTTATCCGTAAAAAAATATCAAATAATTCGTTCAAAAAATCCCGATTTTGTTCAACAAGTTCACTTCATGCTTTTTGAAACATCCCTCTAGCAAAATAATGGAGTGTTCAGCTGGCGAGTAAGATGTAAACAACCCTTTTATGGAGATTGACGCGCGCGTAACATGTTCTGCGCGATGTCACGCAGAACGCACCTGGGGCGTTGCGTTTTGAATTTAGAACTATAAAATTCTGACTCGCTTGTAGTGTTGCGCATGCCTACGTGAGGATTGTGAACGTTCAACCAATGAAACGGTAAGAGGCACTGGATTTTTAGGAGTCCACATTTTATTGTGACACTGGAAAAGTGTTTAAGACCAGCTAGCCATGTCTTTATCATCCGTTTAAGACCGGCCACGTGACGGGCTCTCGACCAATAGGAATAGCTAAACTGTCCGAGGTATTTATGAATATTTCTTATAACACCTCAGCCACAGATTCTGTGTCTTGATTGGCCAAGAGCGAGTCACATGTTACTTTCTTTCTTTCTGTGCACGGCCAAAAGTACTATACTCGTAGCAACCAAAGTACTATACCATTAGCAACCAAAGTACTATTTCCACGGTGCGGTATTTGTGTGCGAATGCATGCTGGTGTGCGCGTTGCGCGTTGCACGTAGCGCGTATTGTTCCAAAGAGAGCGCGCCGCAGAGTTGGGTTCAAACATTTCGTGAAGGGGTAGTTTGGAAGAGAGAAATACATTTTCCACTAATTTTGTATTGAAATTGAAGTTTATTTCAACTGTATTCAGATTTAAATAATTTAAAATATTAAAACCAAGCAGAATCTGTGGGTGAAGTGTTATAAAACAAATATTGGATGCTTTATCTCATCGTGAAGTAAAACCAGCCTCCCTCGGTGATCCATGGACCCATTCTATTATCCCGAGGCGAAGCCAAGGGAAAATAGAATGTCCATGGATCACCGAGGGAGGTAGTTTTATACAAATATAACCTGGTTTGAGGGTGGACAGTCGATATTGGCTCCCCGAGGTATTGGGAGTTGACAAACTAGTTTCCGAGGCGAAGCCGAGGGAACTAATTTGTCAACTTCCAATAGGGGAGCGAATATCGGCTGTCCACCCGAAATAAACCATGTTATATTTGTTTTACTATACCTCATTAAAATTCGGGGAAACTTGTGCAGCTCACCAAAAGAATATTGTTGCTCAACTTCAATTACTAGTTCGGTTCGTTTGCAATATGCAGTTACTTAAGTTGTAAATACAGTAGTTTGCAATGTGTAAAACTTTCTTTTGTCCAGGAGACATCTTTACACGGTCTATAAAATTTCTCCAGTACGGCATCATTGAACTCTGGAAATTAACATTTACGCTAACCGTGCAACCATGCATCTCTCCGGCTCCGGCTCCTAAGGCAATGTTCGCGCGTGCGTACTGCACCCGTACTGCGTGCGTACTGCACCCGCGCACGGGTAACCCATGCGCCAGTGTAATACGCATGCGTACTTACAATGTGCGTGAATCCTCGCGCACGCGTTTGGTAAACAGCAAGAACAACATCTGGCACGTGATGGTGAATTGACCAGTGAGAGTTCGGCTCTCGATCATGAATATGTATGAGGTATAGTAATACTACATATACACCACTCGAAGCATTCAATATTTGAATACCATTCCCCATGGGCGGATCGTACTTTTTGAGCCGCGACGTGACTGGGAGCAATAACGAATGTCACGTGATGTGAGTTCCACCAATCAAATGACAAGGATCTGTATGTCGGTTATTATATAAACGGTTTTAGTGTACGTACGTACATATGTACATGACGTATGATGCGCAGGAAGCACGGGGAAGTCTTAGCTCAGGTTGGACGAAGTCTTCATTGCAATACGTAGGGAGGAAAGGGAGTCCACCAGGGCTAGGGGAAGTCTTAATTTTGGGAATATTGAGAGATAGAAGTAAGTGAGCTCACCTACTATGAGTTGAAATGATTGCAATTATACTTTTTTTATTTCCAAAATCCTTACTTGTTGGGAATCACTGTGTGCGTATGGCCCAGCATGCAGAGTGTACTCCAGACAATTGTTGATACGACGTCTTCAATCTCATTGCATTACATACGACTGACACAACGGAGACCAACCTGGGCTACTCCAGTGCGGTCCATAGCATAGACTAGGCCTAGGGCTAGGCCTGTACTAGCCCAGGTTGGACGAAGTCTTCATTGCATTACGACTGACGTCCAGGATGAGAATTCTCTACATAATACCACCCAAAATTTTGACCACATTTTTGTTACGTTCTAGGCCCTACCTCGTTATAGAACTAACTTATTAAGTTATTATCACGCCTACATACTCAATCATGTGTCCTTATCTATTGATTCAGGGGGTTCAGGAATTCCATATGGGATGCTGACCGACGTTAATCAGGAAAAAAACTCTAAAGCAACGTTAAACTTGTACTTTTTGTAGTCTCTTTCCATCAGTTTATTACCGAGTCATACGTCATGTATGTGCATACGGTGCGCACACGCACGCTAGCGCGCCCTCCTGCCTTTGTTTAGTTTTGGTTGGAACATCGACGTCACTTGCCAACCGAAGTCACGAAAACGCTCAACCAATGACCAAAGCTGAAACATGTTTTCTGGTAACTGTCGCGAAAACACGCGCGGTCATTGGATAGGCGACCGCGCCTACAAGTTAGTTTGCATGCGTATGAGGGCAGTTACTAAGCAAATCGCGCGTGCGCACTGCGCGTTCACGTTGTATGACCAGACTTGGTCGATCACCGTCGCGGTACGTACGTATACGTGCGTGCGAGAAACTGATGAAAAGAGTCTACAAAAACGTACAAGTTTAACGTTGCTTTGGAGTTTATTTTCCTGATTAACGTCAGTCAGCATCGCATATGGAATTCCTGAACCCCCCCCCCCCCCGGATCAATAGATAAGGACACATAGAATAATTCTAAGACGTAAAAGTTAGCTTCTTTAACAAGGTAAAAATATTGAAAATATTGGTCATAGATTTTTTTTTCGCCCGGTTTTGAGCACTTCATACCCTCAGCCATGGACTCCCGGCCTCCGTAACCTAGGGAGGAAAGGGGTCCACAGGGCTAGGCCTGTACGAGCCCAGCCCCATAAATGTGGCGAATTTTAAACTGGACTACCGCCGTAAATATAATGGCCACACTTGGAACATGTATCCTCGACCCTCCATTATCTGCGCAGGTAACGCTTGCATACGCGCGCGCGTTGACCGTTGACGTTGTCACACACAAATGCGTAGAAAAAGGAACGCGTATAGGTATCTGACGATACAAAAACATGATTGTAGGCCTAGGGCTAGGCCTAGAACTTTGTCAAATTTGGATTTTCACATTTAGGCTTAGCGCCCTAGTTTGTAGTTTATTTTTGCTTTAGACATGTTAGAAGCATACTCACCCCCTATATAGGCTAATCAGAAAGTGCTGCCTTTTTCACATGTCTCTTTTTCGTGAAATTTCATGTTGAAATTTTGATACGCAAATGTGTGCAAACGAATCTGGAAATTTCATGAAAAATAGACATCTAAAATTGGCAGAAAAAAAGGGTGAGTATGTTCCTAAAGCACAAATAAACTACAAAGTATAAAGCCTAAATGTGAAAATCAAAAATTGACAAAGTTCTACATATTTTTGTATGTAGGCCTAGCCTATGTTTCAAGTGTGGCCTGTATTATTTATGGAGGCAGTCCAGTAAATTGGCCACATTTATGGGGCTAGGCTTGTACTTGCTGTACCAACTACCATGTGTACTCCCCCTTTAACTGCTGATTGAATTTGTAACATTTTTCGGGAGGAGATTAAAAAAAAGATGTAATTTCCCTCAAAAATCAAACTCTGCCCTCTTAATTTCCACAACACAGTGGCTAAATAATATTATGGTTATGGCAGCCGTAACACAACTTTTAAGTTCAACTGCTATCGTTAGGGAACTGTCTGGTTCCATGACATATGATAGTATTCAACATGTTCAATGTCACAAACTTTGGCTGTTGGAACCAGACTATCAACCAAATGGTTGATTTTACTTCCCTTTTTTTAAAAATCCACCAAACCACTGATTTCAGAGTTAACAAAATGAAATTTACTTAAATAAAAAAAGGACAATTTGATTTCAAACCTAAAACTTTAGAAATCTATTCAGAAAAAACATTACAACTAGGCCCTAGAGGTTCGCGTTTGTTGTTACAAATGCAGAGTGGCCGGGCAGGCAATTGTTCATTAAACACTGCCGAGTTGAGTTATGAATATGTTTATGTAAGAACAAGGATCACGAAATTAAATCCTTTCCAATACAATCAATTATTTTGTTTAAAAAAAGGCATCTTTAACAGTGTGATAAATTTTAGTAAAAATTCTATGTACACATACAAGTAAGGGATATCGTTGTTTGGGCTACGAAGATATACGACATGAATCAAATGATATAATTAAATTCAAAATATTATCGTTTTCAAATTCTCATAGAAGTAACTTCCGGTCTCATGACGTCATGAATGTGAAACCTTGCCAAATTATCTGTGGTTAATCAAAGAATATCAAGGGGGCGCCCTTTCGAAAGATGACGTCATCACACTGTTTTGTGTCTGGCATTCCTCAATAAACACTTTCATAATATATATGTGTGTGTAGTAAAATGCTTCCCCTTTTGAGTTATACTCGGTTTTTATTGCATTTTCGGTAACACCGGAAGTGAAGGTCAAGCGGTTTCGTGTCCGGGGACAAGAATTGTTTCTCACAGAATAGTCTACAACCTCACGAAAAAACAAAGACGATACTATATTTAGTTCAAAAGATATAGCGCAAACTATTTCGTCAAAATTTGCTTTTAAATCACTTGTAATTTGATACCTGATGACGTCATGATGACGTTACAAAATCTATAGTATCTTCGTAACGTGGTACAAATTCACACTAGGTTATATGATCATACCGTAAACTGTATGGAAGAAATTTTGCTTTGTTTTGATTTCAGGCTAAAGTCTTAATTTTGAATTCACCTAACTTTAACCTTCCTGGTTGACCCAGAAGAAGGGGTCAAGTGAGTTCACGTACACAAAAAGAAATGTTCATCAATTCATGGTCTATCTTATTACAGAATATAAACATCACTGATTATTTTGTTCAAGAGTTATGGGTGAAGGTAATTTGACCCTTTTTCAGCTAAAATCATTTGTAATTTGACACCCGATAACGTCATCATGACGTCAGAGTAAGATGCACCACTTCGGATGAGGGTCGATATTTAGAAAGTTACAAGTTCATACCGTATACCGTTTAGGAGAAAACCCGCGGAGAAGTATGGTCCGGAAAAAAGAAAGAAAGAAAGATTTATTGTAACAGATCCAAAGAGTGGTCGGGTTGTGCCCGACCACTCAAAAATCATGTACAGTGCGGCAGTGATGCGAACCAGCGTCCCAAGCTCGATTGAGCTAATGCCTGTAGGCCTACCAATCAAGCTACCAAAGCGTACGTTGTGGTAGCATCAGTGAGCATGGGCAGTCGTAAATCATATATGGTTGCATTGTGTTTTTCAATGCCGTAACAATAGTATTTGAGTGGTCGGGCACAACCCGACCACTCTTTGCATTTGTTGCAATTAATCTTTCTTTCTTTCTTTGAGTGGTTGGGCACAACCCGACCACTGTCTGGAATTGTTCTCATGAATCTTCTTTCTTTCCTTTTTTTTTCGGACAATACTTCTCCGGGGGTTTTCTCCTAAACAGTTATATGGTATGAACTTGTAACTTTCAGCATATATCAACCCTCATCCTTAGTGGTGCATATTACTCTGACGGCATGATGACGTCATCGGGAGTCAAATTACACGCCATTTTAGCTGAAAAAGTGACCAAATACTTTCACATAACTATAGAACAAAGCTAGAGATTCGCGTTTGTTGTTACATACGCAGAGTGGTCGGGCAGGCAATTTTTTTCATGAAACACTGCCGAGTTAAGTTATGAATATGTTGATGTAAGAACAAAGCATCACAAAATTAAATCCTTTCCATCACAATAAATTATTTTGTTTAAAAATGCATCTTTAACGGTGTGATAAATTCCCATAAACATTTTATGTACACATACAAGTTTTTTTCTGGCTTGATGACGTCATTATTAAAAATCGGGAAGTGAATGCTGATTTAGTTCGGAGTGGATAAATGTCTATTGTGAAGTTAAATAACGTATGGAAATATGGAAAATATAATTGTATGCATTTATACCATCTAACTTCTGGTTTCTTGACGCCCCTAGTATTTGGAAGCAAAAGGTGAACATAGTTATGGATATCGTTATTTGGGCTACGAAGATATACGTACGACATGGATCAAATGATAGAATATGATCGTTTTCATCTTCCGGTCTGACGACGTCATGAATTTGAAACCTTGCCAAGTCATCTGTCGTTAATCAAAGAATATCAAGGAGCGATTCAGTCAAATTAGAACCGATGGTCTTCAGATTAAAGAAAACAAACACTATTTTATGTGCCGCTAGGGGTTGCCCTTTCGGATGATGACGTCATCACACTGTTTTTTTGTGACTTGCATATCTCACTTAACACTTGCATGAATTAAATGTCTGTAGTAAAATGCTTCCCCTTTTGAGTTATATCCAGTTTTTATTGCACTTCCGGTAACACCGGAAGTAAAGGTCAAGCAGTTTTGTGTCCGGGAACAAGAAATGTTACTCACGGCATAGTCTACAACCTCACGAAAAAACGAACACGATAATCTATTTTGTTCAAAAGATATAGCATAAACTATTTTGTCAAAATTTGCCCTTAAATTGCTTGTAATTTGATACCCGATGACGTCATGCTGACGTAACAAAATGTATAACATCTTCGTAACATGGTACAAGTTCACACAAGGTTTTGTGATTGTACCGTATACCGTTCGGAAGAAATT